AATATTGCTTATAATATAATATAATATAGTATTATATATAATACAGAATGAAAATATATTATAAAATAAATATCATATAAGCATTTAAATGGAATTTAATATTTAATTAATAACTAAACACACCAATAAGAATATTATATTTTTTTAACAAATTCATAGAGTTGGTTTCTTTCGTAGTCTTATAAGTAAATCTTACTAAAAGACTGCTAGAACTGGAAATAATAACTTCTATAAGAATGAAAAAGTATCTTGATAAATTTAATTACCTAGGAATACAAAGTTTTTTATTTAATTGATTTTATATGACAAGTGCAAAGGTGCAGATATTACGTCAATAATTATACGATTGAAATGTGTTAGGCGATATTCAGAAACCAGACAACTTTCATGCAACACACAATCGACGACTTCAAGAAACACTTGTGGTTTCTTGTCTTCAGGTGGAGATATGTGAACATTTCTCGGCATGCATTCGATCGGTAATTTGTGAGAATTGCACGATTAACCTAACCGACCATCGAGTATTGATTTAGTATTGAAATTATTGCTAAGCTCTATGGCAGCCAAGTATAACTGCGTCTGTTTTATTAGATTTAATAGGGAAAAATATTAAATAACATAAATAAATAAGTTAAATGAGTCAATCAATGCCATAAAATTTGTTTATTATTTCAATGTGAAGTCTCTGACAATTGTTATTTTTATCTGTTTCCGTTTCTTGTATTGGACAAAAGTAGTTAATGCGATATTAAAAACTTTTTATTTAACAATTTTTAATTGTTTTTATTTTTTTAAACAAAAGAAATTTGAAATGATAATTACATTTATTTAAGGGTTTTGTTGTTTTATCCATACAAGTTTAAGTTATTATATTCATCACTTATAACATACGAGTCTCGTTCAACTCTGTACAGTACAAAATCAGACATTTAACTGCAAGAAGTTTTATTATTTTTAGAAGTATGGAGCGTGATTTATGTGTATTTAACACCTATTTAAAAATATATCAAATAACTGGTGATTTTATCAAGAAAATATTGAATTTCTGTTAATACACCAAGTAGTTCAGATATACAAGACATTTATTTATTAATTTAATTTAATTTAATCTATTTTGCATGACAATACATATCATCATTTCTCTTTAAAAAATGAAGTCATAATTAAAATAATGTATTATTAAATAAAAAATAGTACTGAAATTTAACAATTAAAAATTTAAATAGAATTAATTAATTTATGTAACACAGCAAGTAAATTTTTTTGCACAGTAAACAGTATTGCTTTGGGTCACTTGGCTAATGAACACTGACTTTAAGCTTCAATTCGTGGCAGGGCACGAATTCAACCGTGCGTACTTACTGTCTAAAAAAATTATTTAAGCGAATAATCAAAAATAAGATATAATTCCAAGATCACTGAGGATGTGTATTTGGCAATACTTGAAACAGTTATATGGGTAGCCAAAAATTTAATTAATTAATAAGAATAATAAAATTTTGTTGTTGCGATTCCCTACTATTTAAAACCTATCTTCTAAATTCAATATTAAGTAAAATAGTCGCTATTGTCAAAACTGACATTAAAATTAAATTTAATAATAATGTATCAAATGGTTGTATTGCAGTAATTTTAATTAATATTTTGATTCTAAGATTTCATAACCATTTAAATTTTAAAATTCCTATTTCATTAACATAACAATGTAATTATAAAATTAAAGACTTATTAGCAATTAATTTATAATTCTAAAATCAAAAATAACGATTTAATTTTGTAGACATATTCGTTAATTCAAATTAAATCAAAATTAGCTGAAGACTTCAATCTATGGGATAAAACCTATTCCGGAGAGCTTAAAACTTGGCCATATTGAATAAAGTTTCATTCAGAGTTATTCTTTTATTCAGCATACCTTAATTGTAATATTGGATGGCTTTTTCAAAATTTCTCAAGCTTAATGGACCATTTACTCTCCAGTAACTAAATGTATTTTTAGATTTAATTCTCTTATTAAAACACGTTATACAGCAATTTAAATTTGAATAAATCACATAACATGATTTCTTGAAGAGCAATAATATATATATATATATATATATATATATATATATATATAACTACATACAATTTCTTTCTCTTAACACCGAATGATACTTTGATGAAGTTCATAAACTTGAACTTCATTGATTAACTAATTTTACATTAACATATTTGTACTAATCAGAAATCATTATTAAGCTAATTAAAATTGATACACAAATTTGTATATTGAATCATTAAAACTAAATAAGAATTATAAAAAAATTAAATTAATTAAAAGCTTAAGGAGTCTATAAAAGTTTTCCACTGGTTTCTATTTTGTGCTATTGCTTTCAACTCGTTAAATGATTTGCACGTCTCCTGCTGAACTGTTCTTCTCCAGGTCATTGCTGGTCTGCCCCTGCGCCTAGTCCCTTGGGGGTTTCAAGTAAGTGCAGCATGCGCGATATCTTCATAAGGGTTACGCAGTGTGTGTCCAATCGAACCGTACTTCTTTCTTCTTATCTCGTTGTTTATGTTTGTTTGGTACGTTATTCTTCATTACTCTTTATTTGAAATCGTTCTAAGCCACCATATGTCTAATATGTAGCGCAAGCATCGATTGATAAATGATTATATTCTTCTTTCGATTTCAGAGTTACCAAGCCAGGTTTCCGATCAATATAGGTATGACGATTTCAAGCATGCGTTAAACGATATAAGGGGTTAATTAAACGACTTGGATAAATATATTATCACCAAATTTTTTAGATAAATATTGAAATATACATTTATGTATGTTTATCGATGGAGAGAATATAATACTATAAATAAAAATGAATACATGAAAAAACCAAATAGTATAAAAAATGCTACTATAAAGCAACTATTGTAAAAGCAGTATACTATTTGAAAAAACTAAATAATAAAAAAATTGCTAGTATAAAGCAGCTATTGTGAAACTATTATGCAACGGATCTTCCTACATCTTTATTACTTTAACCACAGAAATATTGTATACAGCTTATACTATAAAATACAGTATCGGTAGTAATTCGTATTTAATATCCCAATATATGTCTAAATGTGGGGTCATTTATAATTGTTGTGGTTTCTCTTACCAAGTCCTTTGATTAATTCAATTTAAATTGTATTTTTGCACACACCCCTCTATTACTTTGTAATCTGTCAGAATTCGTCATATGCAGTTCATATGTCATTTCCTTGTTAACAATGTGCTGCAAAACTAAGTTATAAATAAGTCGTCAACAAAACAATTAAATTAATTTCGTTCTTCATACTTTAATTAAGTTTTTTCTTGTTTCTTGTATTTTTTGTTTTTTTTTTTTTGTTACCTGACTTAGATCCAAATGCAACTGTGCGAAAAGCAACTGCAAGCAACACCGAAAAGCACAGAAGAGCATATTTTTGAATTGCGCTTAATGTGAGCCGGTTTAGTAGTAGCTTATGTTAAACGTATTATTATGTTAATATTTACATTGAATCCTACTACTGATATATGTGTGCAGATATACAGATATACAGATATACAGACATACGTACTTATTTATTTCTATACTCGTATGCGATGTACTTAGGTACTTGCTTCACTTTCGTACTATTGCAGTTAAGACTAAGACGTCTGTAGATGTAAGTTCAGGAATAGGCCTTTAAGGCTGCTTAGTATCATACGCAGTATGCAGTAATAATGCTAAAGGGTACAAGCAAGTAACCAACTTACCAACAAACCGTCTCTATCCTCGCACCCTTGCCGTGCTTGTCTAAGCGTAGTTATGTTACTTATTGTAGCCGACCGCTGCGAATAGTACGAGCACCCCAACCATATTTGTGGCATGTAACTGAGTAAGAGTATCTCAGGAGGGGTAATTATAACCTTTTCACTATAGTTCCTTTGTTGGAACTATACATTTGTGTATATTTTTTTTTTTAAGGTTTTCGGTAGTAGTGCTCGTAGTGTTTGTAGCGTTTGTCTACTTTGCGTACAAACTGTGCAATTTTTGCATTTAACATTTCTGAATTTTTAAATTTTTTGCATATTTCAAAGTTTTTGGCAAGCAAGCAAGCAAGATAGTGAGTGACCGACCTGACCATAATATTACCAGGCGGTAGGCTGACAAGGGTATTGAAAATTATATCGAAGTGCACTGCGCGATAGCCACTCTAGCAACAACAACAACAACAGAGACGGCACAGCAGCAGTTAAGACAACACAAAAAATGCTTTATTGAAAAGCATTTTCGTTATATATATATATATATTTTTTTTTTTTTCAATTTATTTTGCTTTCATATTTACTACTTCTGAGGTTTGGTTTGGTCAGGTTGAGTTGGTTGCTGTTGTTGGGCCCAAGCGCAGAAGGGAAACAAGTTGAAATCCAAGTGGAGAGCCAATTTCATGTTATTTGCACTGCTGCAGAATTGTATTGTCGTTCGAGACTTGATGCGAGCGCGGGTTGCGTCAAGCTAATATTGTGGCTTAACCACTTAGCTTATGAGTAAGTGTGTGAGTATTTTCAGTACTGTTACGGGTTCAGCAGTAGCCGTAACAGTGGCAGTGGCGGTGACCAGTGTTAGGACAAGTGAAGCGGTTAGCCACAATTAAGTGCTCAGAGTTGTAGTTTAGCATTTACATGGGCACACCACTTGAGTATCTTGTATCTTGTATCTTTTTTAATTTGCAAATTCGAAACTGGTATCAATTAAGTTTGAATTACTGCAATATTTTAGACAATTGTGCTCGTGTTACACACTCCATAATCTTATTAAATATTTTATTTAATTTATTTGACATTTTCTATATTATTTTATTTAAAATTTTTTATATATTTCTTAATACTCTTATAATGTAAATATATAAAATTATTTTCATATGTTTTAATAAATATAAATTTTGAAATATTGTAATTCACTTGAGCTGAGCGTATGGTCAATATTTTTCTTTTTTCTTTTTAATTGCAGATGCTTATCAATCAAGCCACCTGAGAGGTAAAAACTTTAAAATGATTATTCCTTTCCATACAAAACAAGTACATAAAACCAATACTAAAAAAAAATGTTAACTTAAGAGTTTTTAGAGCGAAAAAATTTTATTAATTAAAAAAAAAAATTAAAAAACAAAACATGAAAATATTTTAAAATTATAAAATATTTTGTACTATATACAAAAGTATAACGGTGTAGAGTACCAAAAGTAATGAAAATAACTGTTAAGCGGCACGTGCTCTAGCTGAAAAGAACGGAAATACGAAATAAGCAACCGGCACTGAAGAAAAACAAATTAAATTTGCTCAGGGTTGCCAACAATTTGAACAGGTAAAGGCGGAAGTTGCAGGATAAGCGTAAATAAACGTAAATAGAGCATAAAATATATGAAAACTGTACACATTGAGTTAATGATTAACTCAATCGAGCTTAAGCAGAAATTGAAAAAAAATTGAAAAAATTTATTTTTTATTTATCATTTTTTAATTTTTTATTTAAATAAAAAATTACATATATCTTATACGTTCTGAATTGAGTCATAAGCCAAGAAGTAAAAGTGGAGCGACGTAAGAGAAGTGAAGCTCAAATTTCCAACAAACACAGGTAATGGATGTATATATATGGACCCAAAATACCAGATACTGAGTGTACGTCAACTTCACTTTTAATGTATGTATCGTATGAAATTTACATTTATATAATATATATAAATACCAGCTTTCTAGCAATATTCTGCAGAACAGCAACAGACAGTCAGTAATATCTTTTTATAAGTATTGTACATTTAAATTTTTGATTTTTAAATGCAACTTTATTTAATTTTAATTTATATACATATATATTTATACTTGTATATTAATTTTTCACTCTAAAATACTCTTGAGCAGTTCATTTTTATTTCATAATTTTTTTTATTGAAACTTATGAAAAACAATGTTTAATATTAAATTATTTTATTAATTTTTTTTTTACACATCAAAAGGATATTGTTTATATTGTTTTGTCTTTTTAAAGTCGTTTTGTTATGGTTTTACCTTTCAGTATTTTAAAGTGGCTTTATATATATATATATATATATATATATATAATATTTTTATTTTTTTTTTCTGTTTTTGAATATTTTGGTAATAATTACTATATTTTTTTAAATAGTAATTCTATTATTTGTTTAGTTGTATTCTTATAAAATATATATAATATATGTAATGTATACTTATTATGTACATATTAGTGATGTTTAATATTATTATATACATGTACAATAGAACTCCACTAATCCAAATCCATTAGAATTAAAATAACTCTGAATTACTTAGATATTCGAATTGCGGAATTTATACAAAAAGTCCTAAAAGAGTCATAAAGTTCATATGCAGTCTGACTTTTGCTACAATTATGTATAATTACAGTAGAACTCTGCTAATCTGGATCCATTCAAATTAAAATAACTCCCAATTACTAAGATATTCGAATTGCGGAATTTATACTAAAAGTCCCAAAAGAGCCTTATAAAGTTCATATGCAGCTTGACTTTTGCTAGTATTATATACATGCACAGTAGAACTCCGCTAATCCGAATCCATTAGAATTGAAGTAACTCCGACTTACTAAGGTACTCGAATTGCGGAATTTATACTAAAAGTCCCAAAAAAGTCTTATAAAGTTCATATGCAGCTTGACTTTTGCTACAATTATATATATTTACAGTAGAACTCTGATATCCGGGAGTTATATTAAATTTCTCAAAAAAGTCTACTAAAGTTTAAATGTACATTTTAGAACCAGAAACTGAATATAAACTTAACAATAATACATTGTTAATGAGCTCAACTGTTCATTAATTTAAACGATAAGTTAAATGAAACATTCACTTGATTAAGTCATAAACCCATAAAATGTCTATTTTTTAGTGTAACGGTTTTTGACCTCATCACTTTCATGGATTTGGCTTACATTTCTTTATGAGCTCCTTGTTTTAAATTAAAACATCTGTGTCTCGGGAAAAAAATTTAAATTGTGTTCTTAGAAGATACGTTAGACCGATCCATGGAGTTTTGAAATTTTGAATTTCAGATCACTTTTTAAATGGCCGTATCTCAGACTTTGTGAAAGATATAGACTTAAAATTTATATAAATATAAATAATTAATATTGTTTATATTAAGTTACTAATCTTAATCGTTAATTTGGAAAAAAATGATTTTTCCAAATATAACATCGAAAATTTTAATATTTTAATATTGATTTAGATTTATCATAAACTATTATTAGAAAATTGAAATGGCATTATTTTTAGGAGTATTTTAAAAAATGTATTAATGCTGTGCCTTACGTATATGCACTTAATTTCAATAAATTAAATTTTTAAAAATATATAAGCAGATTTAAAAACTAAAACATTTGGGCGTAGAAAACGTCTTTATAAATACCTATAAATGTGATTTTTTTTATTAGATTAACGACCTCACATGTTCATAGCATGCTATTCGGATTAGCGAATCTGTGATCGATAGGGACTATAAGGAATGCATAATTTCTATTTTCATTTCTCTGGAATTATTTGTTGGGATTACGAGGGCATACGAATAATCAGAGATTCAGATTAGCTAAGACCTATTACATATGTAACTCTATCATGCAATATAAGTTAAATTATAAACGCAGACTATCAGTATATATAATTCTTTCATTGAATGTAAGTCATATCGTTAATGAACACTATTTTTTTCTTGTTTATATTTGAGCATATTATGTTATTAATATATATTAACAACATATTAATATATTATTTTAAATATATTATTCTCAAACTATTTAATTCATTAATGAATTTATTAACTTAGTGCATTTATATAAAAAGTCTCCGCACCTTCACCGAAAAATTCAAAAAACAAAAAGGAAGAAAATTAAAGAATCATTTTTTAATTTGGATCTGTTCTCACTAAGACCAGACCCCTTTCCCTTTTACTTTCATGGAAAATGTCAAAAATCCAAATGAAGTATAATTAAATTTTTTTTGCCCTAAATTGACACTGACATTTAACAACGTCTGTCAAATGTTTGTCAACAGACTCGGTTGCATAATTTGAGGCACCCACATTCGAAAAATTCCAAAATAACGGAATATATACTGTATCCATAAATTATAAAAAAAATCAAAAAAATCAAAAAAATTAAAAAAAAATAAAAAAAGTTGACGTAAAACCGCAAATCTGTGCAAGCGTGCCGCGCTTCACTCTTGAAACGTCATACAGATTTGCTTGCTTAAAATGAAATACCCGTATAGATCCAAGACATACTAAGACGTTAACTCGTATGTATAATATACATATGTATATATGATCTCATATGAATAAATAATAAAAAATTTTTATAAAATCTTTTAAAATTGCTGACATGCAATATTAAAACTTAATCGATCGCATGATGTGAACTCCATTGATCGTAAGTGACAGTTCAGTTTGGTCAGAGTCAAGCCAAGAAGACCAACCACGGTGTTTAAATGTTGTTAAAATGATTGCGGTGAAAATTACAGACAACCGAGAGTTGAGAGCTGAGAGCAGACAAAAGAAGTGGGAGCCCCATAAAATACGAGTATAATACGGGTATTAACAAAGGTATGAGAATATGGGTATGGAATACAAGTAAGTGCACTCACAGTCACTTATATTCGTATATGAATGAGTAGAGTGCCATACAGTGCCGCAGAGTGCCACAGAGTGAATACTAATATATAAAAGATACTTTGTATGAATGCTAAACAAATGAGATAAAATGTTTGTCAGCGAGCAACCGCAAAATGCAAATTGCAGGAGATTCGGTTAAATTGTGACAAATGAAGTTGGCGGTTAAATTTGTCTGTCTGTCGTGTCACAATGCAATTGACATATTTCCATCTATGGGTTCCATTGTCTGAATGCTTTAATGAAAGTTTCAATTGACACGATTTTTTGACAAATCAATTAAGACATTAAGTGAAGTTAGATACTTACATATCAGATGAACAATCTTACGTCAATCATCCAATAATATTGTTTATAGATGTTGTATAAATATTGTTAATACTTTTTGATATATTATTACACATTACTTACATTACACATAAATTATATTATTAATATATGCGTATATATCTATGTAATGTCTTAATTGGGTCTTAAAGTTTAATAAAATTCTATATTTTGATTAGAGTAAAATGCGTTAAAAAGCCTTTATCTTAATATCCAAATGTAGGTTCGGATATTGATAACTGTACGTGAAATATGAAGATCTGATCAATTCTTTATGTATATCTAACTACAATTATACAAAGATTTTAATATATACTATAATAAACTAGTAACATGTCCATAAGAAAAATTTAATTTAAATGATAGGCTTAATTCCGTTCTCCAACTGTATTAACATATGTAGATCCATGAGAACCTATAAAATTTAATTTGTCTATTAATATCTATTTTGAAATGTTCAGTTATAGCTTACATACTACTTATTAAGTTGTTACATAGTAATACTTTTTGAGCAGCACAGTATAGCTTAAATCTTTTTTAAACAAGCGGGTTATATATGTTTTATACTGAAATAGTGTTTTTAGATGCCTAAGTACTTATTAAATATAGTTAATAATTAAAAAAATTGTGCATGTGATTTATATGATATGATTTTAGGAACTTTAAGTGAATGGAACTAAAATTTTTTTGTTTCTTGATTTCGTAGTAAGAGTAAAACTTTAAAAGATATATAAAGTACGTTCTTCAACATGTATTACATTTTTATTCACTATTTTTTTTATTTATTTAGTAAATTTTAGGCTATTAATGCACCCCGACCTAAAAGATCTATTATGCGCCTATAGATTCAAGTAAAACAATTCTAGACTATTTATAAATTTCGTAATTGATGTGAGCTTAATTTTACCTATTAGATTTGAGACTAAGAGCCCGCTTTCAAGGTAGTCGAGCCTACTTTTTGCCGCCGCTGGGCAATTGCATAAAATATGTTCT